GAGAGTAAGCTCTCCACCAAATATCAAGTCTTCGCATGAAAACACCAACAATTGTGCTGTCCTGTCTGTGATGAGTTAAAGGCTAAATCTAAAAGTATTTTTAAATATCAGTTTGACTTTACATTTAAGTATGAAGATCTGATGATCTAAAGCAAGAAAAGATTGGCAAGAAGAGATGATTGGAACAACTAACAGACAAAAAGAGTAGACAAGCACTCTTTTAGCCTCAAAGGATGATGTAGAAGAAAAAAAAAAATAGCCCTCATAGTAGAGGCAGCAAGTGAGCTACATACTACTGTATTTTGGTTGAAAATGTAATCATCATTTTCTAGAGACAGCATTTATGTTCTTCAAATGCTTGAATAATACAAGACTATTTAAATGGTATATTTCCTTGTAATGGTGCAACATAAACTGTTTCAAAATTTCCACATTTTCAATAGTTATTCTACAGTCTCACTAAAGTCTTAAAAATTTACTGGGTAGTATTTTGGTATTCTTCTGGTGGTAAAACCAGAAGTTTCATATAAAAAGAATGTTCGAAAAATAAGTTATACTGCTTACAGATTTAGCTTCCAGGAAAATGAAGGCACTCCCTTCCTGATCCCACTCCTCAGGCATAAAAGGTTTTAGTATATATAAATGCATAAAAATAGTTATATAGGATCAGCTAGTTCTGTATCCCATCTCAGGCAAAAGTCAAGCCCAGATTTTGTAGATGATGGTAGAAGACTTAAATAGCAGACACGGGTTCACCTCCTTCTTCCGAAGTCTTGCAGCCCCTAATAATAAAGTACAGTCTTCAGCCTAGACATATGTAATTTTAGATCTTGTCCCCTTATTTTATTTTCTAATTGGTCTTTTCAGTTCATAGCATTTTCCTGTGTTTTTAGAAGGTTAGAGAAGAATGACTTTTTGCAGTGAGTTGTTAAAAGGGCAGTTACCAGAGAATCATCAAAAGCTGGAGGACTGAAAGAGTTTCCTAAACTGGAGGCTGCATCACATAGCAGACACATCATCAGCTGGATAGAAATTTAAGTGTAGGGGTAAGGCAAACAGCCTGGAAGTGCAACTGAAAGTGGCCTTTGAAAACTTGAGATTCTCTGGAGCAGAAGGAGGAAGAGTTTCTTTCTCTGGGTGGAAAGCCCACACAATCTTGGAAAGCACAATGTGGCAAACACACACAATATCACAGAGATATGGCATCCACTGCTCCTCCATATATAGGTCTGCTTCTGGTCCGTAAATATATGTACACATATATATGAAGATACACGTTCACTGTTAAATATGCATTGTACATAGAACAATTAGCAACACCTTTTCAATTTATAAAAAAACCCCACCCAGACCAAAATAGACAGTAAGCATTCCTAAGCTGGAAAGAAAAGATATAAAAAGCCTTTTTTAGGACCAAGAAAGAATTCCCTGTATATACACTCTTACAGAAGGCTTTCAGGAAAATCAGGGTTATCTTCCGCATTTCTATTTTTATTTTGCATTCTAAAAAATCTATTTGATAATTATCGGAACTGGCAGTCAGGCTAGTAAACTGACATACTTTAATGAGTGATGCGATCAAAGCAAAGCTCTGTTGTCAACTGTTACAAAAATCTTGGTGTACTGCAGATTCTCAGATGAGTCCCAACTGTACTTGCTATTCGTATTCCTTCAAGCCGTTCACAGAGTGATACAGTAGTTTAAGCTGGATGTAGCTGTTGAACGCAAAGAAAATCCTACATTCTCAACACAGGACTTACAGAAACATTTTTTATCTAATCCTTGGATGCAGTAGCTCAAGACGCTATTAGTAGTTTCAAGAACCATTTAAAGAATTTCTCTATGTAAAATAAAATGTAACCTCATGAATAACAAGTAAATTATGGGGTATTACAGGAGTAAAGGTTTTTTTTGTATAGTACTATTCTAATAAACGATGGGCTTTGCTACATAAGCTACCCTTAACCATAAAAACTTTTTTTTTGCCAGATAAAAATAAATGTAGCTGTTCTAAAATCTGGAAAGGTATGTATAAACTGTCATCCATTAAAGAGAATGGTAGTTTAAAATAAAATTATGCAAATGAAATAATTATTTAGTGTGCTTTTCAGTGCCTGAATTCAATAAAAGCAGTCAGACAAATCTTTTAAGATTTTAAACAGTGTTCTGGTTGCTTTAAATTTTACGTATCTTGAAACTCCAATAAAGCAGTGATGCATTTTTAATTGCACAATTAAAATAATGTATCTTGTTTCAAAATATGTAAGTTCTAAAATTACCTGTCTACTGAAAAAACATTTATTCAGAGCAGTTATCTGATATCACATTTTTAGACAATGACTTCTTTGTCATCTTGTCCTGTTTCTCATCCTCCTTCAAAGGTTTGCTGACCACATTTGCCTTTTTTGACATAATTCACTGAAAAGAATTTATCCTCCTCCTTAGTAAACTTCAAAACTTTCCAGTTATTAAATCTGCAGCAAGAATCCTGTTATATATCTAAATTTAGCACCAGTACACAATGAAATGCTTGGGCTGTTTGAAATTAAGAATACAGTCCACATTTTGTGCATTAAGTCCATTTATAACAATTCCCTTGGAATAGAAGGGAATACAGTATTATTCAGAATTTACAGTAATTCAGACACACTGACGGATGGAAGAATACGGATGAAACTCAGTCCTGGAGAAATGGACAGGTTGCTAAATAGTTACTGCAGTTTGTTTTCTGCAAAAAATGTCTTCACAGAATAAGCTTTATTTTACTTACTGGAGCTTTTTTTCCTGAAATTACACTAAAGTGCTTTAAGAAGATATTTACTATGACGTCCAACCCTAGGTTTTTTCCTATTTCAAAGCCAAAATAAGGAACCGTTGTCTCCCTGATCCATTATATCCAATGCTCTCAGAGAATAGAGAGTCTGAAGCACATTGGGTAAATTCTTCTGCCTGAAATCTATTGTGGCAAAAAGAAAATAGAAATTAAAAACTTAAGTTTTGAATTTTCTGTAGTTCTGATATGACATAAAGCCTTACAAAAATTATAGAAACTAGAAAGCCACCTCCCCCCCCCCAATGTATTAAAAGCTCTACTGCATGGAATTTTAGAAATTAACTGTGGTTTTGGTATCTGCAGCAAATGGGTGAAACTACCAGTGCCTACCCTGAAGCTATATATTTGTTGTAAGGAACACAGAGAGAGGGCAGCAAAATCTACATTATTAAAAATATTATGATTTTTAACATTTTCTCATAGAATTGCTCGTATTTTGAAGCTTTATAATTCACATACTCTTAAAGAAGCACTTGACTACCTCAAAACTTCTACCTAAAAACCTGTCCTATATGTAGAATTCTTTGCTTTGAATGTTCTGGTTGGTTTTTCAGAAGAAACCAGTTACTTTTAATCAAATACAGATATATTAAAAAAAACTACTCAGAGATTAGTAGTTTCAGCAAATTACTTATCTGATAATTGCTCTATTTATGTTTGTGTTCCGTAACTATTTAGATAGTGATTTCTCCAGAATAGAAAGTAAATTTTATTCTGTATTAATAAGCTTTGCATGTAATGAGTGATCAACCCTCACTTGAGCCTCTTCATAATGCCAAAATACAAAGTGAATGAAAACAAGTGAGTCAGGAAGAGGACTCCAGGGAATACTGTTCCTGTACAAATGCATAAGGAAGAAACAGCTTAATGAAAATTGCTACTTACAATCTAATAATGTGTTTAAGCTGATGCTATATAATATTTCTCAACAGAGACAGTATTTTCAAGTCTTCTCCCTCTGTTCTGCCCTTATTTGCACAAAAAAACCCCTTGTCAAAATATCTTGGAGCCTCTTGGCTGTCTAGTAAATTTACCGGAACGGGCCAACAGGTTCAAAAATTGCTGGCTGGATTAGTGGCAGAGGGATGGAGCAGGATTTCCTTAGGAAGTCAGGCTGATCAGATTGTTTAAAAAATATCCAAAGTCAGTTACATTTTAATTTTCAATTTCCATTATATGAAACTAAACAAAATGCTTGCAGAACGGAGACTTTTTTACCCTTTATGTTTTTGCTTTCCCTCCCCCCTTTAACAGAGTTTCAATTTAGCCTCTGAGCTTTTTTTTTTTAAGTTGTCAACGTGGCTGTTTCCTATTTGAACTAATCCTTGAAAAATTTCTTACTTATTTTCCTTTTTATAAATGAGTGAAACATTGAAATGTAGTTTCAATATATATTTCCACTGCTCATTTTAGCTTCACCATTAAAGTCCCACAGGCAAAATTTCTTTTGGGCTGGAACAGCTGACCTTCCTGTCATAAAATGCTAAAATACAGTTCAACATAGGCTGAGTAACACTATTTTGGATATAAGATTAATTTTCAGGTAGCACTTAATCATATAGGTATTTACGAAAATACAGAAAAATTAAGCATCTTCAGCCATCCTACTATTGTTGTTTGTAGTTCAATGAACACTGTTTTTATAAACCTCTTTTGTTACAACCTTAATTACCTAATGGACAACACTGCCAAATGTTTCAGATTGCTTTAATTAAATTAAGTGAAAACAAGGGCATGTTCTTTTCACCTACTCTGTCATTATTTAGCCAAAGTACACAAATGAAATACTGTCATATTTGCTCCATAAATAATTTCATTCAGCCTTGCAATTTTATTTGTACTGTTCTTTGAACTTCCTTTAAATTCTTGAAATATTTCTATGTTTTTTTTTGCCAGAACTACATTTCATTTTCTTTGTATGCCCTTGTAAGCATAAATAAAGGATTATTATTTTTTCATTAATTAAGCAACATCTGAACCTTTTCAATGTCTCCAGATAATTTTTTATTAATATCTCTGGAAGAGTTATATGTAGAGTCCACTTCTTTCCCCAGTGCTAGATTTTCAAAATATGTTGCCTAGTCATCCAGTCCATTTACTTTTATTTATGATTTTCTTCTTTTGATAGAGGTAAGTAGATGAGAAGGCAGTCACAACTGCAACTTACCAAGAGTTCGAAATGGTCTTTGGTTTGGGGTATGGGAGAAGAAACCAGGTTTCAAAGCATTTGTAATCACAATGTCAAAATACTCCTCAAAATCATTCCTAGAAAGTAAAGGAAATTGAATTAGTTAAAGTAATAAATTAACTAAGATGCCACTAAACACTCTCTAAGACTTAGGAAGGTAGGAAAACACTTTTTTTTTTTTTTTTTCCTCTGAAGTTTGTTCAGCGTCACTACTGCCCTTCTTTTCCTGAGGTCTTGTTCCTTCAGGACCACTCATTATTTGTAAAAAGGTGTTCCTTGGCCCAGGGTTTTTAAATCTTAGGAGAACATATGATAGATAATACAGTGTAATCTCAGGTGTCAAGATACACACAGACAGGTGAAGAAAGGTGTAAATGAGGCATTTTCCTTATAAAGCAAAATACATGAAGTTAACTGATGGGGTAGGAAGTAACTGGAGACTAAAGATATTTAAACACAGGTGCTTATTTTTTTGGTATCCATACTGTACATGCATATGCACAGACCTAATGGCTGTCTGGGATGCCACTGTAGTCAACAGAGATGTAATTATACAGCCAATTACATCTTAAAGGGTGATTTCACATATCCTAAAGTTGAAAAGCCATTTTGTTAGCTGAATCCTTGCCAGACTCCACTGTCTGCTCTGACTAAATCCCTGCTGGTTACAGAGACGGTAGACATGTGGCTCACAAATAAACACCTACCAAGTATGAGTCTTAATCTTCCAGCTGAATCACATCACTAAATTCAGATTTTTCAAAGATCAGTAGGCCCATGAAAACACAGATCAATGTCTGAATTGCGGAAATCCCTAAATTTAAATGGGCCTCTATTTTAAGCATGGTAAGTAAGTGGGACTTACCTATAGTTAGTTATAGAGACATGTATGCAAGTCAGAACATTACAAGTCAATAGAAAAAAATGGAACCTTAGGGAACATTCATGTCACCTGTCCTACTGTAAGATGATTTTTTTCTGGAGGCATCAGTTATTCTACTCTAGCAAGAGTTTTCTCATTTTAAGGAATCTATTAGACCTGATTTATTATACAATCAGGCTGAGAACTACAGCAAGAAATAACAATGCCTCCCTAAATGCCTATCATAAAATTAGACAAATGATGCTTAAAGAGTGTTCTTTTAATTGTTATTTATTATCATCATTATTATTAAAATATCATTGTATTTTAAGTTAGTAGAAATGTTTCATTGCTTAGGCGACTGTTGCCTTTAACATCAAAAAAATGATGGAAATTCTTTCATGGAACAGAGAAGTCCCAGATGTCAAGTGCAGGATGGGTACAGGCACTAAAATGTTAGCAGCAGCAGAAGTTTACTAGAAGAAAACTCAACTTCAGCGACTATGTGATACTTGACTCCTCTACAGATGTGCTCTTGCCAGTGCTTAAACATTTGGTCAACTTGACAGACATTCTCATGGTAGGTAAGCCTGAAAAGTCACACAATGATGTTGCTGCTTATATGAACGAACTCGCAATTGCTTCTGTAGGTTTACAAGCCTTATACACTGATGCCAGCAATACTTGCATGCTCTGGCCAGGAAACAGCTCTTGTTTTATGTCAAAATGAGATTTTCTCTTGACTTCCTCTCACCGAAATATCTCCCAGTTAAGGACAGCTTGGTCAGATGAACATGACTGGGATAGTTTGTGCTTGAAAAGGTAAATGATACACTAAAGCATGAATTTCCCAGCACTAATTTTATGCAGACAATAATTTCTTAGCCAAAAAGGACTTTCTTAAATAAAGTGCAAAAAAGTTAACAGTTACAAGGCAAGGATAGTAGGAGTAAGAGGCTGAAACTTCACACACATTTCAGCTTTTCATCTTTATCCTTCGCTTTTTATTTTTTTTTATACCACACAATTATCTTCTCAGTATGATACCTATTAGCTGAAAGTAGGAAAAGAAATTAATAAAGGACTACATGGACATAATTAATAAGGCTTGATGTAAATAATTAAATGCATTTATCCTGGTCAAATTAAAGTGCAGATGTAACAGGTGTGAACCTAGGCTATAGTCCAGTGTCACAAAAAGCAGTATGGGTGTGGACAGTCTTATTATCTGATAGAAGAGGCATGGAATAAACAAAAGCAATAAAAAGTTCAGAATTATTTTAATGAAAAAAAATACTTTGGTAAGGTCTAATGGAAAGTGAAGTACTCAGGTCTCCAGAAAATGTCTTGGAAACCGCATTGTGTGAGTCAATGAAAAATACAATTGTCGTAAACACTGTAGAACATCCTGCACTTCCATGGAACGACACGGTATCCTTCTAGTTGAACATATATTTTTGTCTTTTGAAAGGCAACTGACCTTCTCTGTTGCCTTTCTTACTAACTGTCTTCCAGCAGGATCTCTACAGCTGCCTTACACAGCGGAAACATTCACCAAGGCAAAGAAAGCCAAATTCATTATATGTGGCCAAGAATTTAGTTCTATACCACATTATCATTCAGAAAACAACTATACAGATCTACACACAGGAGTTAATTCACAGGCATCTTACTCATAAGGAAAACTGTTTTTTATTACATGGTACATTTTTCCCTCAAATGAGTAAATATAATGCTCATACAAGGCAGCAAGAACTGGCACAGCTGATGCTCAGTTTAGCATTTATCCTAGAGAATACAGAAGGGAAGTGATACTGGCAGGACTGGTTTTGGAAGGTAGCTCTGTTTTGCACCTTATCTGTGGTTTTCTTGCAGCATTGCTGTATTCATTCTGCTGTTTCTTTGTATATCCAGATAGCCAAGGCTGGCTCACACTGCACCACTTTGTTTCTTTGATTAATTTATTGAATAGTCTCATCATGTCACCCACCTAGCAAGTAGTTTAATTGATTAATTAATTTCTAGGGATGTGAGTGATGGTTCTCCTGAATTTCACTGAATTTGACTTGACCAGTCATCTTCTTAATATTACAACTAAAAACAGCTGTTGTGATCAGCACCTACAATCTCAATTGATTGCCAGTGCAATGAACCACCTGTTTTATCTTTTATGCTGTGATCTGTAAATGCACAGTTCTCATGCACTCACCACTGAAGAGGCACAGAAAGGAAGTGGCTTGAATAAGACAGTCTATGAAAAACTTATGAAAAAACTGGGATTCAGAAGATATATTTGGTGTTGATCTGAAGGACATTCCCTGTCCTCTTCTATCCCATCATGATGCCCAGGAAAGATGCTGGATTTAAGTGTGCCATGGGTCAGATACAGCTCACAGGCTCATAGATGGACTACTTTGTCTTAACACTCTGTCAGAGGGAGGCCCAACAAAAGCCTCAGATTCAAATAACTCGCAATTTGTTTTAACAAATTCAAATTAACTCAAATTATAGCTCAGGCTTATAGACAGTTGCTGTCTGGCAGATATGATTTGAAAAGGACATTGCACTTACCCAATAATATGTTCACACAGGAGCCTGCAATAGTCACTATGAGAACTAGTAATTAATAGCAGAATCTTCCCAGCACTCTTCAGTTGTTTCAGCCACTTTTTTACAGACTCAGGACATCTTTGCAAATATTTGTCTGGATGATTTTTCACTTCTGGGAAATATGTCCCACAATCTTCTAAAAAATTAAAACATAATTATGTATTATCTAATTTTGCTCACAAACCACTAAATCCACACAAATAATATTCTTTTATGTGCAAACAATACAATTTAAAAAAGGCAAAGCAAAGTTTAAAATTTGCCAAGGGTTGTAATTCAACATAAACCATAAAAATCAATAAAAGAGGACACAAACTTGCAAAAATAAGGGTTTTTTTTTATTATAGAATTTTCATAGTTATTTTGTGTTCATTTGCTCATAAGAATAAATAATACATAAATTACATATTACAGTCTTAGACAGCAAATAATTACTTCCTGTTGCCTTTGCTTAATTTTTAGATACTCAATTTGTGATTTTAAAATGAGTTTAGTGTTTAGAAAATGGTAAGGACCTAAGATTCTCAAGAACATTTGTTCAGTTACTTCTGACACCTTAGGTTAGCATTGTCTGATCAGTAACATCCATTTTAATATTTTTGCCTTTTTCACAACTAGCACTTGATCTATGAAAAGTTGACAAAACAAACTGGCAAAGACTCACAGGTATGTAGAATACTAGAAACATGCAAAAACCCCCCAAACAATTCCAATTTTAGCTTCAATTATGCTCTTTTTGCTGAACAGAACAGCAGTATAATTATGCAAATACACTTGGAATGTAAGATTTTTAGAAGTGTGCAATAACACTAAGTTGGCAGTAAAAGTTTCCTATTCATTAAAGTCACCAATAGCTATTTATTTTGTTATAACCCATAGCTGCTTTACCAAGTTGTCAAATTAACATTAAACTGACCTTCTTTAATAATTCCTGTGACTAAGACTACAGATTTCCTCTGTGCTCCAACCCTCTATAACCAAAAATGTCAACCTAGTTAAAGATCTAAAAAGAATTACAATAATTGTAGAGACAGAAATGATCCCAGGTATTTGGTTCTCGGTCTGTGTGTGTTATAGTATAATGAACATCATCATAGAAGATTATTTTTCTTCCAGCATTTGTTCTATATGCAACTGTCTGTGGTCAACTTTGCTGAATGATTTAATAAATCCCAGACATTACTTAGCCTTCTGGTATGTGAGTAATGCTATTCTCTAGTTTGAAAAAATAAGATTTAAACCACTTAAACTTTAGCTATTTAATAAAAGCAAACATGCATGTTTGAAGTAGTAGTATCAAAGAAAGTCTGAAAGATGCTGGGTGCTAAACATAACATGATTTCATAAATTATACATTCAGACACCTACAGATGGAGGGAAAAAGTCTCCCAAAAGAAGTTTTGAATTGGCTGTTATCACTGCAACTAGACAGCAAGACAGCAAAAAAGTCTTATTCTGTACTGCAACTTGACAGATTTCTTCCCAAAAGCTACAGAGTGGGCTATTAAATCAGACAAAAGTCTCAAACAGTATCTCCAAACTCATAACCAGGTCCCTATTCCAGCATAACAGCCTGTAGCAGGGGAATATGAGCCTGCTCCTGCAGCCAGCATTATGGGATGCCATGACGTTTGCCTTGGGAACTAGCCAAGATCAATGATTTTTTTTTATTAAACCAAGCAGATTTATGAAACAAGGTTTCCTTTAGTAGTTCCTTCCCCCTCCCCCCACCTCCAATCCCCTTTTCTTGAGGTGTGAATATAGTTTGAGATGAGTTATATAGTTTTTAAGAGCAGAAGCTGCGTTATTTTTTCAGCATTATCATCAGTAATTATTTTTCATATACTATGCTGACAATTTTTATTGTTTTGGAAAACACACAATACTACATGAAAATGAAGGGGGACACAACACAGGCTTGGCGCTAGCTCTCACAGGATCAATTAAAAGACAGATGGCAAAAGGCATTTATATAGCCCGTGACCCTTAAGTCTTTTTACCCTAAAGATAGGTTAAAATATCAGTTTTATATGAACTTTGCCATCAGACATTGTTTTTCTTTCCTTATCAAATGCCTCCCACCCTCTGTTAACCATTCTTTAAAGACTTTGAGTAAATTTAATCAACACCGTCTTCTTTCACTTGTGCCCTGTGATAGAACGAGGGGCAATGGATTCAAACTTGAGCACAAGAAGTTCCACCTCAACATGAGGAAGAACTTCTTTACTGTGAGTGTCACAGAGCACTGGAACAGGCTCCCCAGAGAGGTTGTGGAGTCTCCTTTTCTGGAGACTTTGAAGACCTGTCTAGATGCCTTTCTAAGTGATCTGCCCTAGTTTTTTTGGTCTTGCTCTGGCAGGGGCATTGGACTTACTGATCTTCAGAGGTCCCTTCCAACCCCTAACATTCTGTGATTCTTTGCCCATACTCTGTACAGTATCTGCTATGTGATAAATCAATAGTATTTGGTCTCTGATTTACATATGCAGTGGAAAAGGTCAACAACTCTGGATTTAACATATGAACTGAAAGACTTATTCTATTTCTCTATCCAGACCCTGAAGCCAAACTATTAATTGCAGACTAGCAATGAATCAGATCTGACACTGGGATCTGAAGCTTGCCTCTGGGCTTTTAGCCATATCAGGCAGAGGTACCTTAAAAGAACCCTCATTAAAGCATATTCTACTGCAATTAGGCCAATGTGGCTCTGGGAAAGAAGAGTTTAACTTAATTCCTAACATACTGTTGCATCTGATGAAGACAGTTTGGTCAAATATGTACTCATATATGTAGAGTTTAACCACTGAAGCTTGAAAGATTTTATTGAAAGCCAAATAAAATAATAGCTGAAAACTTTGCTCATTATACCAGGCCAAGAGCCAGCTTTGATGAGGACAAACAGATTCACAGGCACCTTGTTGGCAAAAAGAGTTTTGAAGTTTAACATGTGATGGAGAAATAGCATCATGTCAAGCCTTCACAATCAAATAGAATGATTTGACAGTGAGAAATTAAGCAGTTTTTTCCAGGAGTGTATATTACCACCATTATGTAATGTGCTGCATTTCTGTTTTTAAAAAGAATAAGAAAACTCTACTGAGCAAAGAGTCAGTGATAAATCAGAGAAGACCTGATTTCACCCAAGCCAACAGAGAAAGTAAGTTAATGGCAGTAAGAGTGATTTTATGCAACTGTCATATGGCTTTGTTCTTCAAAAAAAACGAGTTATTCAGACAAACACCATTCTTGAAAAATAAGGAATGTCTCCAGCCTGCAGTACCTTCCTGATAACACATATGGACCATCCAAGTTTCAAAATACTCTTAAAAGCCAAACCATAAGCAGGCTTTAGTGAAGCTTTGTTAGTCTGCAAATTCACTGTATCATAATGGGGGACTTGTGGCCACCACCAGATCTATGATTGACAGTTTGCTATCTGTACACTGCCTAAAATAAAATATCTACATTTTTATAGCTCTATTTTATGAATACCACGTAATATACAGCCATGTGGACACTGACATGTATTAATGTGTACCAATGAAACAGTGAAAGCAAAGCAACAATAACAGACATCCCAGCTTTCACCTTCAATGTCTCTATTTATCTCTATTGTTTTCAGTTAACTGCCTGCATGCAAAGCCTACACTAGCAACCTTCTGGCTCTTTGGCAGTGTAAACACTTTCTCAAAATGTAAGAAAGCATTTCAGGAGAAAAAAAGAAAAACAAGAAGACTGTGACAATCAACATAACGATGAACATATTTACCTCCTGTGATTGTATAAGAACATTTAATCTAATGATGTGGAGCAGGAAAGCAAACGTCTAAGCATTTTATGCACAACTTTCTAATTTATTACATGTACATTCCCAGGGAGCAAGTGCAGTTTTGCAATTTCCATTCCTGTTACTAAACAACTTGGGAGTTTATATGAAATTGCTGAAATACAGCTTGGGATAGCAAACTGGAACTAGCCTCTGTAGACATTTATAATCATCTTCCAAATACACTTTCAAAAACAGTAATTGCCTTTGCAGTCCATTAAGTATCCCTTCAAAAAACGTTTCCTTTTTAAGCAGACGATAGAAATACAAGCAATTAAAATTAGTTGTCTAGAACTGCCACATATTAAAGTCTTGCCAAAGCTGCTTACTAGAGCTACATCCTCTTGTATTTCCAAAGCAATATAATTTCCTCTGTGTGTAATATTAGAGGTTCCTTTACTGTCCAGTTTGGGGTTTGTTTTTTATTATATCATCTGACATTGTAATTTGATCAAGATGTTCTTTGCATCCCATTGCCTTACAGTTTAATTGCTTGTAGTACAGCTGTGAAAGCAAGTGTGATGGACATCAGGTATAGCTGAAAATGCAGAACTCCCACACCAAACTAAGAAGGAGCCTGTACAATGCTTGCCATGACTGACACGTCCTCCACCATGGACAATAATCCAATTTTTAATCCAACCACCCTCCTGTACTACTGCTGCAAAATTACTTTACTGACATACGAAGTTTGATGCTCTAATATAATGCCTCTATTTGGAGAAAAAATAATTGTGGATTTCCCTTGTTCTCCTTATTACACCACTTCTCTTTGGCAGGGTCAGTTTACACCCCACTGGCTTTGAGCTCCTTTAGTCTCAATGTCTGTAATTCCGCACTGACAGAACACTGTAGTTTTCACCCCTTAGCTGTTATTTAGATTATAAAAGAGGCAAATGTTCAAGAGGCATGTTTCTGGCAAGGTTTCAATCCATAACTAAACCACAGGAACACACAGTGTATTTTTCAGTATCGTCACTGCTTCTAAGGGGCACCTACTTGATTGAATTAAAAAATAATTTATCTTCTATTTATACGGTTTAGCTAAGCAGAGAGGTATGAGGCTAAAAATATCTCTAGAATTCAGACAAGAAAAATAAACTTACAGCTGCCAATTTGTAGCATTTATTTAGTGGCTTTAACAACTTAAATGTCTCTTACAATGAAAGTAGTATTTGGGAATGTGACTTTTCTCTATTTTAAGTTCAAAGGCAATTTGAAAGCCTAGCTATCAATACCCATAGCCAGATTGTCTGCAGCTCTGAAGCAAGTGAGAACTTATACCTCTTCCCTAATTTTTTTGTAGG